TAGTGATCAGTGTATGCTAGGAAATGCAAGCACGACTTCCCATAGTTAAGCATGGAACCCTATTTTTATACCCGGGGAGACAATTTGTGTTCAAATCATAGCATGTAAAAAAAAAAAATTATCCTAGTAAAATGGATTCTGCCAGTGCTTCATGGAGCACAGGGTTCCAGACATTGATGCCCTGTTGGGATAAGAGTCAACGAATAAGAAAATAGTAAGAAACTATAATGGCAATATTCATGAACATAAGATTTTAATTAAGATCACAGAAATCAGTGATTCCCAAACAAACAAAGATGTCACTGGGGTAGCTGAGATGCTTATTATTCAGGAAATAATGTTCAGTGCCACTAAAAGGTATTTACATTGAAGTAGCAAAAACCTTGTTTCCCTTGGGAAGAAGTGAAAAATGTGCTCAGAAGTGACGAAATCTTAAGAAGTGAGAAGATGAAACAGGCAATAGGGCAAGATTCTGCCCTGCCCTACACCCTGTCTAGTCATTTATAGTGCTGCTGAGTATACGTAAAGTGGGATAAAATGCCATGAAATAAGAGTGATAATGACTTACACACACTTTGCACAGTCATTTTGCTTGGTGTAAATGACAATGCAAGATGCAGGCTAGTGGAGAATCTGGCCCAATGACTTGGCAAAGGAGCAAAAGAGTGGCAAAACCTAAGCTTAAAAAAGTAAAGAATGCTGGCTGTAGGGCTCACTGTGTCAGCACTAGACAGAACAGTCACAAGGGCCCATTCTCTCATTTACACTAGTTTTGCACCAGTGTAAATGAGAGCAGCATCAGGCCCATAGTCTTCTGTGGGATTCATCTATTACTTTAAACCCTTGTAGACAGATCTTGTCTTAGTGGGTGGGGAAGGAGTGGTGGGGACACAGAGAGCCCTTCCCCCACTGAGCAGGAGATAGCCAAAATCCCACTGGGTGCACTCTAAGCTCAGATGGGAAAGGACATGGATGAGAACAGTGTTAACAATACTAGGTACCCCAATAGGATTGGGTCTGGCTTCCTTCCACCACAGCTTGTCATTTGGGGATGATGCTGGGCAGAACATTAATATCTTGTGGTCCGCTTTCCTTTTCAGCACCTCCTCTTCAGCTCTGGCTCTTCATTACTCTTCGTGGCTAAATGAATGCACATTAATCTTTAGTGTGCTCTTTTACAGTGCATTGTATTGTTTGGTTTCACTAAATTGCTGCACATTAGTCTCTGCATAAGCGGGTGTATTAAAAATAAAGTGCTCAGGTATGTTACCTTGTAAATGCCAGCTCAAAATGTCATCAGCTATGAAGTGCCTTTGGCTGATTTAAGAAGAAATCTTTGCTCTCCCATAAAATAATGACATCCAAGTGAAATTCCAATGTCCACCCTACCCAGTTGTGTAGACCTTTGTTTCCGGTCTCCTCTGCAATGAGGAATCAGAAACCTGTTACTCATGGTTGAGGGGAGTGGAGAAATTTCAGTTCATTACATCTGATGGAAACTGAAACGCAAAAACTGTCAGGCTGTAAGAGTTGACTGATTGTAACGGTCTCAAATCAACTAAAGAGTCTGCAGCAAAACAAAAGTTTATCAGCCAAATGGATAGTTACTTAAATTGATGTTTGTAGGTTAAAGAATAAATTATCTTAGATTCTCAAAGATGCTCAGATACTATGGGGAGGAGGGCCATACGGCGTCTTCATAAATATGGTATAATAAATTACCAAGGAAAAAACCCTGAAAACGGGGTTGAAAGTGTTTTAGTTTACTTTGTTTTTTTACAACACCTTATCTTGCTTATAATTAAGAGGTACTCAGTTTGAATCCCTCTCTTAGGGGCTGCTTTCCAGTATTACTGCCGGCAGTGAAACTGAAATATGTGGTTTGCATAAGGGAATGTCACTTGTTCAGCCAGGGGGTGATAACTTTTCCTTTTTCTTCCTTCTACTTTCCATTTTTCTCATTTTAATGTTTCAAGAAACCTAGAGCCTTAGAGTGAGATTCTCATCGTCAAAATAATGTAAAATTAGTTTGGGCCAGGTCACTGGTAGGTGTAAATTAGCATGGCTCCATTGAAGCCAGTGGAGCCAGATTTTTTTGAACTTTAAAATCTAAACATAACTTCTAAAACCTACAATAATAGATATTGGTAATTAACATTGGCTTGTATAACAGTAAATATAACATTATCTGTTGTTATCTGATCAGTAGTTCCGGTGCCTGGCATACTATCTCCTACTTGATTCAACTGTATTTTTTTCTCTTTATGCTGAAAACATACAAGAAAAAAGACACCGATTATACTAACTTAATAAAAAAGTTCAAAAGTCACCTCAGGTGTTTATATCACCTTTAAAACCATGTATATCATAACTACTTCACTCAGACAATCATATGTAAATAGAATGGATAAAGGCCCATTAATGTCAAGCCCTCTCAAATGTAAAAATTTGAATAAATGGGGCTTGGATTCAAACCAATCCTTAGTCTTAGTTTACATTTCACAAAATCAAAACAGCTCCAGTTGTGACCATCTTCTATTTTTCTGAACTTGCAGATGCTTAAGGGAATTGATTTAAAATGGGATCTGAGTTCAATCCATTTGAATTAGCAACACCCAAACCAGTCATTTAAATTTTGTAAAATCAAACCACATCAAAGTTATGTTTCCTTCTTATCCTCAGTGTTTGGTGCGTTCTTAGTGAACCTTGCAGTGTGTTTGATCATGGAGGGAGAAGAGGGGAGTTGCTGCCCAAATGCTGTGAAAATCATTTGGCTCCCAGGACTTACTGCCAGCCACAAATCAGCTGCTGTTTCTTACATTGCTTTTTGAAAAAAAACGTAATCATTTTGTAAAGAGAAAATTAGAAATTGCCGTGCTATGGTCGGCAAATCCACAAAAAAAGTCAAAAGGTCTTTTCTGAGGTTTTTCATTAGGGATGTTAACTACTATTAGCCCAAGTATTGCCTGGACTCTCCAACTTTGTTTGCACTGAATAAGGTGTCCCAAGCACACAGAGATGAGCAATTCATGGTCCACCCTTGAATACTTCCTCATTGTTATTAAAACTGTAAATCTCAAACAAATATACACCCTTATTTAAAATAAAACTATTGACATAAACCATAATGAAACATTTATATGTGATACTGACACATTCACTGCTAACGTATGACAGTAAATCTGATAAAATTATTCATTGTAAAGAAATTATCCAACAAATGTAGCCCTTTTTTCTGTTTGGAAATCGTTTGGTAACAGATTCTGATTTCTGTTGATATATTCAGTATTCACAAGTACTGTATTCACCAAATATTCAACTACATATATAAAAAATGAATGATATCCTATGGGTCAGATACCCTTACTCACTGTTATATTTCAGAGTAACAGCTGTGTTAGTCTGTATTTGCAAAAAGAAAAGGAGTACTTGTGGCACCTTAGAAATGGAATCCGATGAAGTGAGCTGTAGCTCACGAAAGCTTATGCTCAAATAAATTGGTTAGTCTCTAAGGTGCCACAAGTACTCCTTTTTTTTTCACTGTTTTTTTCCTTTTTTTTCCACTGTTATATGGTAATGACGGGCTATGACTGAATTCCCATTGCCAGCTAAATTGCACAAACTCACCGCAGGTCATCTGGGGTCTGTTTTCTGAAGTTAAACAGTTTGTGATATGGTGGCTGTTGAAATACATAATTGGTTGTCTATGATAGTCACTGTGGTAGTTTCTGACACGTAGTTTGGAGCCATTCTGCAAACTGCACAACGTAGAGAGTTTCTGTTCTCAGTCACCTGAGTATTATGATTCAACTGCTTTATATATGACATTATCTTGTAAGCTCATCTCATCTTGATAGTTCCTGTGTTCCTGGGAGGCCAGTGGGGATTCATCCCTTGTGTCTGGTCATCCTGATACATTGCCGGACATGAGCACTTGTTCATCTTTGTCATATATAGTTTGTTCTTGGATTCTTTTCTAGCTCCCGCCATGAAACTAGTATATAACTAATTTAGTGAATGCTTTCTAGGTCTTTCTGTGTCTTCTGAGGATTTCAAATTCTTCTTCAGTATTTTCATGCTGCGAGGTTGCTCTGGTTAAGAAGTCAGATATGTACATCTCAGTCCCTTTCTGGTAGCATACATCTAAATTAGAGCATTGCAGCTTCAGTAGCTGATGGTGTTTGGGGTCTGCTAGCCGTGGCTTTTTAAAAAAGTGTTCGCTAGTGGCTTATGGCCACTTTATACTCAAAGGCTTTCCTGTGCTTCTGCATACTGGTTGAATTTTTCACAAGTGAGGACAATTGCAAGAAATTCCATTTCAATTTGAGCATATCTTTATTCTGTTAGGGATAATGGCTTTGACGTGAAAGCTACCTGCTGTCCCTTTTGTTGGAGTGATGTCCCAGGTCCCATATCACGAGCTCCCCACTGCATAGTTGCCTCCTTATTGGCATTGTAGTATTTTATGATGAAATAGTCAGTCACAGATCTTTGATATGTATGATAGCTACATCATGTTGAGGAAGCCATATACATACTGCATCTTCGTCCAGTACTCACCTCAGGGATCCAGTGGAAAGGTGCTTGGAAGAATTTTTGTACAAATTGATATGGTCCAGAAGCCCATGAAAATGGATAACATGCACCATCAGGAAGTGGGCCATTGTTTCAGCAGGGGGTAGGCAGTCACAGGGGATGAAATGTACCATTTTAGTCTGTTGGTCTACAATGATCAAGATCACTGTGTGGATGTCAGAGCTGGGGAGTTCCACTATGAAATCCAGTGTGACAGAGGCCCAATGTCTACATGGGATATCCAGGGCACAGGGTGCCGAGGGTCTTAGCGCGAAGCGTCTTCGTGCACACACACAGGTCACAGAGTCAATGAAGTTCTGGGCTTTGGCTCACATATGAGGCCACCAGAAGAAACAGAAAGTAGTGCAGAAAGACTTAAAGTGGCCAAAATGGCCTGCCAAGATGTTGTGGCAGAGATGAAGCACTTCTAGCAGGGAGCACCCAGTGGTATCTGTTCATCAACATATGTGATCCTGGGTATTGGGCTCCGTTGAGCTGATGATGCCACTCGTCAAAGGCTGATTTAATTGTGGGCAATTCTTTATCTAATAGTTCATAATTCCATTTGTCAGGGGCGAGTTTTCTGGAGTATGTGCAGAGGTTCAGTGGCCCATGCCTCTGGGAGAGTATGGCTTCATTGGATACATCGTCTTCCATTATGAACGCTTTGGAAGGGTCTGGATATGCTAGAACAGGAGTGGAGGTGAAAGCATCCTTGAGCTGTTTGAAGAGATGGTGCGCTTCAGGCATCCAAACATATTCGATGGCCTTGCAGAGAAGGTTAGTCATGGGTGCTATTTGTCCTGAGAAGCCTGGAACGAATTGTCAGTAAACATTCATAAAGCACAGGAAGTGCTGTAACTCCCAGGGGGACCTGCGCACTACCCAGCTGCGGATAGCATTTATTTTCTGGGGAGTTCATCTTAAGGCCCTCTGGGGTAAGAATATGACCCAAAATTCCTGGGAGGATTGGTCAAAGGTATGGTTTTCCAGTTTCCCATACTGCCTGCGCTTCTGTAGTTTTAACAGGATGGAACGAATGTGGTAACAATGCTGTTCAGGGTTGTCCGAAAACATAAGTATGTCACTGAGATAGATAACTACATACTGGTCCAAGATGTCTTAAAATACGCCGTTCACGAAGTGTTGAAACATTGTGGAAGTATTAGCCAGACCACATGGCATTACTAAATATTTGAAGTGCCCAGAGCAGGTTTGAAAGGCAGTCTTCCAATCTTCTCCTGCCATAAAGGGCACTAGGTTGTAAGCCCCTTAGAGGTCCAGTTTGGTAAAAATTCTGGCAGACTGCACGTGGTCTAGCCACTCTGAGATTAGGGGCAGAGGATGCCGGTTTTAGACTATCACCTGGTTTAGGGCCTGATAGTCTTTGCAGAGGTGTAGCATTCCATCTTTTTTCTTACTGAAAAGGACAAGAGTCCCTGGTGGGGAGGTGAAGTGCCAAATGAAGCCCTTGGCCAGGTTTTTCTGAATGCACACAGGACAAGCTGTCAGTTCCGGCTCAGACAATGCATAGATCTATCCATAAGGGTCCTTTGCCCCGAGTTGCAGGTATATGGGGCAGTCATAGTTCCCGAGCAGAGGTCTTATATCTGCATTTTTCTTTTCAAAAACATCTGTATAATCCTGATACTTGTGAGGGAGATGGGGACTCAGGTTTGAGAGCAGTTCCTTTTGGCTGGCCACTGCCATCTGGGGTTCCCCTACAAGTGCTGTCACTTCTGATTGGCTATAGAAGCCCAGGACCGGAGAATTGGGGCTGCCTTCATGCAGGCAGACCCTTTGGCAATAGTCACAGGGGAAACTGATCCCCTTCTCGCACCAGGAGATGCAAGGATTGTGCTGTTTTAGCTAGGTGATGCGAAGAATCAGGGGAAAGTGTGCAGAATGAATCACATTGAATTGTAGCACCTCCCAGTGTCCATTAAGTATGTCTGCTTAGGGGTACTGTTTCCTGCATCACTAGGCCAGGGACAGGAGTCACCCATCTATCATCTCTGTGAGAACGGATGTAGGCTTTAAACAGAGGGGGATCTTTAGGGCTTGAGTGGCTTCAGCATCTATGAAATTATCAGCAGCCCTGGAATTGATCAGGGCCCACTGACGGAGAATCAGCTCGGCCCATGGAACATAACTGTATTTGTACGTGGACATGCGGGATGTACATACATGTCCTGGATCAGGTTTTCCTTGAGGGCTGGGGTGGGGGGAGCTTTATAGCATAGTGCCCTGGTTGTGCCCAGGCTAGTTCTCCCCAATATAGACTGGGCTTGTTTGTTTCTTGATTTCTTCCTGATCAATATCTGCAACAGACAAGAGGCAAGGGCATATCCTGGCGCTCCACAATAAAAACATAAGTTATTGTGTTGGTACCATTCCTTTTCTTCCTGGGTCAACCGTTGGCAGACCAGATCAACCTGGATCCGTTGGTGGTTGGGCCTGGGGTTTTCAGCCTGGGGTATGGGTGAGGTGGTGACACATTTCCCCTTCTCTCCTCTTTTTGCTCATGCAGCCAATTGTTGATATAGATAAAGAGGTCAATAAAAGCATCTAAGCTGGCCAGGGCAGTTGGACTGCCTCGTTCCACTCAGTGTTGGCTGTGAGTCTCTAGAACTGGGCAGCGTACGAGGTAGCTGGCCCTTGCCCTTGCTGGAGACTTCATAGTGTGGCTTCTGCTGAGTGAGCGTGACGAGGGTTGTCAAAAATTGCAGAAAATGCTCATAGGAAAGCATTCGTCAGTTAATCCTGGGATGTCCTGCTCTTTCAGGGTGGAGGCCCAAACCGGTACTTCTCCAGCTAGCAAGCTGATCAGTATTCCCACTCTGGCCTGGTCAGTGGGATACACTGGAGGAAAGAGCAGGAAAATGAGACTGGATTGCTTCAGGAACCCCCTGAACTTCCAGTGGTTCCCATCAAAATGTTTGGGTAGCTGTACTGAGGAAACCTATTCAGAGGGTGGTTGCCCAACCCGAGCAAGGAATATGGGCTTCTCTTCCTGGTAGCATGCTAGCTGCTCATGGAGTGTCTGATTTTCTGCTAGGAGCCGTGCCATTTGGGACCGCAGCCTATGGTTCTGGGATTGTAGCTGAGTGATCCTCTCCTGCAGCTCTGGTACCCCATGTGGTCCAGTGGGTTGTGGTAGACCCACTCCTTCCAAATCCTGCTAAGGGGCTTCCATGGAGGGGGTTGAAAGGTGGTCTGGGAAGGGGACTGGGGTGTAGAAGGTCTGGCCTAGCAGTCATGGCTGGACTGGTGTCAAGTCAGGTATGTCCAAGAGGCAGGAGTCAATGAGCAGGGACAGAGTAATTGCTAGAGCTGGGATAGATAAGCAAGAGTCAGAGTTAGACTCAGGCTGGGGTTGGAGACTGGAGATCAGACAGGGTCAGTCAGGGTGGGGTCAGAAGCTAGACATCAGTAAGTGAGGTGACAGCTGGAGTCACAGCAGGCCAGAAGTCTGTGTGGTTGCCCAGACAACTTTCTGGAGCTCCCTCCGGGGTTAAATAGTGAGCATGGACCAATCAGAAGGCTGCAGCGTGCTGTTCCTCTGGACCCTCTGGGTAGGGTAGCCAACTTCCTAATCACATAAAACTGAACTCTGTGTCCCCAGCCCCTTCCCCGAGGCCCTGCCCCTGCTCACTACATTCCCTCTCCCTTGGTGGCTTACTCTCCCCCATCCTCACTGGGCTGGGGCAGGGGGTTGGGATGTGGGAGGGGGTGAGGACTCTAACTGGGGGTACGGGCTCTGGGGTCAGGCTGGGGATGAGGGGTTTGGGATGCAGGAAGGGGCTTCAGGCTGGGGGGTGGAGCCAAGGGATTTGGTGTGTGGGAGGGGGCTGCAGGTTGAGGTACGGGGTTGGGGTGTAGGAGGAGGTATGGGCTCTGGGCTCAGGGTGCAGGCTCTGGGGTGGGGCTGGAGATGAGGGGTTCAGAATGTGGGAAGGGGCTCTGGGATGGGGCAGGGGGTTGGGGTGCAGGAGGGGGTACGGGCTCTAGGGTGGGGGTGGGGGTGCGGGCCCTGGGGTGGGGGTGGGGCTGGGGTTGAGGTGTTTGGGATGCAGGAGGGGGCTCTGGGTTTGGGGGGGGCTCAGGGCTGGGGCAGGGGGTTGAAGTTCAGGGTTTGGGCACAGGCTTACCTCGGGCAGCTCCCGGGCAGCGGTGCAGTGGGGCTAAGGCAGGCTTCCTGCCTGTCCTGGCATCCCACTGTGCTCCGGAAGCAGCCAGCAGGTCCAGCTCCTAGGCGGGGGGGCCAGGAGGCTCTGCACGCTGCTCTTGCCAGCAGGACCCACCCCCCAGGTCCTATGGGCTGCGGTTCCTGGCCAATGGGATTGCAGAATGGGGAGGGGCAGCACGCGGAGTCCCATGGGCCCCGCCGCCTAGGAACCAGACTTGCTGGCCACTTCTGGGGCACAGCCTGGTGTCAGGACAGGTAGGAACTAGCCTGCCTTAGACCTGCAGCACCACCAACCGGACTTTTAATGGCCCAGTTGGCAGTGATGACCAGAGCCACCAGGGTCCCTTTTTGACTGGGTATTCTGGTCGAAAACCGGACGCCTGGCAACCCTACGTCTGGGCAGTACTTCTTGCAGCACCTAATCTCCATGGTGCTCCTTGGATATGGCTCTATGTGGCCCCCTGGTGGCAGTGTGGAAACATCAGCTGTCCCGGGCTCCTCTGACCTGGGTTCTGCTCCCACGGATCCTTACACTCTGCAGTCTGATCCCACACGGCGTTCTCAACCAGCTGTATCTATCTGGTGGTACCCAAAGTGTGGCAAAGTAGCTGCTTTCCTTATACAGTAGCACTTGCCAATAACCATCTTTGGCATCAAGTACTAAGAATATTTTTTTGCTTTTGCCAAGTCAGGAAATATTTCTTCAGAAGTAGGTATTTGGTACTGAACTCTTTTTAGTGCTTTGTTTAAACTGCTTGGTTCTATGTAAATGCAGAGTTTGCCTAGCTTCTCAAAAGCTACCAGGCTGCTTATCCAGCTTATGGCTTGGGGACTTCAGCAATGATGCCTTCTTTTTTCCATATGTTTTATTGCTCTCATTATTTCCGCCCCCCCCCCCCCCCGCTTTTAATGCAATGGGTCCTCTGCAAGGCAGATGCTGTATTGGCTGAATCGTTTGTATCTATTTCCAGGTGTAAGGTGCCTGGAAGACAGCTCATTCTTTTGAAAACATTTCGGTAACGTTTTAACAGCTTCACTGCAGGGAGGCCACGATACGTGGTCTGCTCCGATTATGTTTTTTTTGGTTTGCTTGTGTGTCTTTTGTATGAATTGTATGTCTCAGGTTTAGCATCGCTGTGGTTGCGCATTCACTTGTTTTAGCAGTGGCTTCTGTGGTTTTGAACTATCTGAAATTTTAGATGGTATACTTTTCCTTGCTATTCTGCTTGTAATTTACATTGTCCTAATGGTATTAGGATTGTGCCATTGTATAATTTTATTTTGGCTTTGCTGGGTTGTAATTAGACTTTCTTCTCTTGAATAATGCTGAGGAAGTCTTTGTAGCTTTGTACAATTACTGAGGCAGCTCTATTTATTTGGCACTGAGTTTCCTATTTATTTGTGTGCTGCTGCCTTGTCTTTGCCTCTGATGCTGGTCTGAGATTTACAAGCCATTTAGTTTTGCTGTTTTGCACTGCGTTAATATCATAACCATGCAAAATCTCGTTCTCTGAGTCATTGCTTGGTTCCTCGATATAGTGCATTTTTTCCCTTTTTTTTTCTTATTGGCAAGCTGTGCCATAATAATTTCGCTTGCAAC